GAGGAGGAGGAGGAGGAGGAGGACGAGGAGGCAGGAGGAGAAGGAGGAGGAGGATGAGCAGGGAAGGAGGGAAGGGGAGGCGAAGGAGAAGGAGGAGGAGGAGGAGGAGGACAAGGAAGAACGAGGAGGAGGACCAGGAGGAGAGCGGAGTATGCCGCCGTCCATCGTCGGCCGTCGTCCATCATCGCGCGGCAGCCTGGAGGCCAGCGGCGCCCTCGGCGCCGCTGGCCCCGCCGGCGCCGCCGGCGCGGCGACGCCGTGCCCCCTCTGCAGGAGCGACACGTGGCTCTCGAGCAGCTCGTCGCGCCGGCACGCCTCTGGGCGCGGCTTTTCTTTGGCGTCGCGCTGGCCGCCTCCCGGGGCTCTGGGCGCCGCAGCTCTTAAATTGCACTCCCGGTGCTTTCTCGCCCCCGGTGTTGGGCCCCGGGGCGCCACCGCAGAGCGATGCGGCTCGGCAGGTGCCGCAGGGAGATGGGGTCTACAGGGCTCTGGTCGTGGTCTGTCGCGACCCTGAAACCATGGCGAACCCCGAGCCCAGAGTTAGGGGAAGAAGAAATGACATAAACATAAAAACTCGGAGGTCCGCGCGGATTTCTCGGATCGGCGCTGGACCCCCCTGGCGGCGCCTCCAGCTCCGCCCCTGGCGCGTTTTTGTTCCCCTACTGAAGCCATGGCGAACCCTGAGCCCAGAGTGGTCCTTCTTCCAGCGTCCTGACTGCAAACGGCCCCTCAAGAGTGGCTGCCCCCAGGCCTTTGCCCCCTCCTTCCCGCCAGTGCTTCCTTCTCTTCCTCGCCGCCGCCCTCAATCCGACCTACCCCTTCTGTCAGCGCTCCTCTTCCCTGCCCCTCCGCCTCCTTCAGGCCCCTCCCACTTCCCCTCCTCCTCCTCCTCCTCCTCCTCCTCCTCCTCCTCCTCCTCCTCCTCCTCTTCCTCCTCCTCCCCTTTCATGCCCCTCCCAGTTCTGGATCTCCATGGCACCCTTGCCAAGTTGGACAAAATTGCCCTCCCAGGAGCCATGCCCTCTTCGACCTCGACTCTCCGAATCGACTCCACGGACTCCACGGACAGGGATGGGCGATGTCAGGCATGGCGCGAGCACGCCTGACTTGCCCCCGCCCCCTCCCGGCCTTTGAGACTTGTTCCGCCCTGTGGGCCCTCGGAGCTCCAAGACCCCTTCCCCCCAGACGTCCGATGCCTCGACCTTTCCGAAACGGGGTCTCCAGCGTCCCAGGGCCCCCCCGCAGGCCCCCAAACGGCCCCAAGACCTCCCGCCGTGACTACGGCCACGGCGCGAGCAGGCCTGGGCCCTGCACTGGCCTTCTCGCCCCAGATGCGCTCCCCGGAAGCCATGCGGCGCCCCCGCCTCCGGACGCCGAGGAGCTCTGGCGGCGAGAAAGGCCCAGGACTCTTTTTCACGGAAGTCACCACGCGGGAGCCCCGCAACGCCCCCCTGCTTCCACGGAGCCCCCCGCACGACGACGACGACGACGACGACGACGACGACGACGACGACGACGACGACGACCACGACGGCGACCGACGAGCGACGGCGACGGCGACGGCGACGGCGACGGCGACGGCGTCGCCTCTTGGCCCCTGGAGAGCTCCGTGCCCCCGCACGGCGCGCAGCCGCACGCCGCGAGCAGCGACACGAGGGGCGCCAGGCGGGCGGCGGAGGCCGCGAGGAGCGGCATCCCTACATGGACGGACGACCTGCCCGCGGGGGGCGTCAGCCGATCTGGGACGCCAGGAGGACACACCACAGCCGGTTCCCGAGTCAGGTGTCTACGATTCGAGCGGGGGCCGGTCGGGCAGAAACAACGGATCTCGAGTCCTGCCTCAGCTTCCAGCCTCCCCGAATCAGGCGGGTCGGAACCCCAAGTCAGGACCCGACTGTTCTGGGACGCAGAAAGACATACCACTACCATGCGCCCTCCTCAGAGCCGCTTCCCGAGCGGCATGGCCAGAAAGCGCCCGCCACGGAGCTTGTACTGCAGGACTCCTCGGCGCGCGCGTCGCCCCCGGGGGGGGGGGGGCACGCACACTTAGCATCAGTACGTTGTGGTGGCGCACATCAGCTGCTCTGCCGATCCCGAGCCCAGGGTCGGTGCACAACCAACCCTCAGATCCGGGCGTGGCGAATGTTCCACCAGTCTCGGGCCCCGGGACCATCGCAGATCGATCCGGCTCGAACATTGCCGCAGAAAGAGTGGGTTCAAGGCTCCAGTCGTGAGTTTCGCGATCTTGACTTTCTTGCGCAACGTCGGATGCTGGGAAGGGTGCGGATATCGTGCTGCAGAATGTATAGCAAAGGGGCTGTTCTGGCCACGGCAAGCCTCGGCCACAAGCCAGCTCCACGACCCGTCTACTCGAACGACCAGGAGCCAAAGCCCCTCTCGTGAGGCCAACGTGGCCCTTCATCCAGGACCTCGGCCACACTTTTTAGTCTACGTCGCCGCCCTGTGTGTTCTCGACGCGCCCAAGGTGGACAAAACCGATACCCCGGCAGACCCACGGCAAGCCCCACGACCCGCGCCCCAGCAGACGACGCCGCCACCGCGGCAGACCCAACGGCGAGCCCAGTGCGCCCGAGACGGCGTTTGCCCGGGCGCCCGCGGCGCCCCGCCAAACTGGGTAGTCGAAGCCAATCTGGCAGGCCCAATCTGGCAAACGGGGGCAATCTGGCGAGGGATCCCTCGCCAACGCGAATCCAGTCTGGCGAATAACCCAAATCCTCCAATATGGCCAAGCCAGATTGGCCCTTGGGGCCCAATCCAGTCTGACAGTCTGGCCTTCGACTACCCAGCCAAAGACGCCCGGCCGCGCGTCGGAGCCAGTGGCGCGGCGGCATATTTTCTCCGCGCGCGGAGCGCGAGCCTCCGGTCGCGGCGCGGAGGGCGCGCACCGCAGCAGTCGCCTGCGCCGTGGACGCTGAGATCGGAGCGAGGGGCGGGGGGAGCAGCGCCAGTCCAGCTTTCAGTCGGGCCTGTCACCCTACGGGGGGGATCTTCGACGCGAAACAAAAAAAGTACCCCAAAACGTGCCCCAAAAAGGTCACAAAATTCTCAAAAAATAGTCCCCCGACCATTTTTTTGACTATCTTGGGGGGATCTCTTATCTGTCGTCGAAAACCCCCCAGTAAGGGGGACACGCCCGACTTCAGTCCAACTGCTGCCGCACGGGGCGCCGAGCAAGGCGCGAGGCCCCTTTGGCGGCCGCGGAGGCGCCCGGGGTGCACGACAGGGGCGCCGGAGGAGCAGGCACGCCAGGGGCTCGAGGAACAGCGAGTCCATTCCGAGCGGTTCCGAGCCAGAACTGCTCTTCAGTTCAGCACCTTGGCTGTGGATGCCTCCCTGGCCACGCCAGCAGGGCGTACCCAGATCTCCGACGATCTGACTTCCGTTCGGTCTCAGCGGCTTTTGGCCTCCGTTTGGCTGCCACTGGGGTCCCGCTGTCGTGCCCCCTGGCCATCAAACGTGGACCTGGGAGAAGAGAACTTTCTCCCTGCAAGGGGTCGTGACCTCCGGCGCCGCGCATGGAACAAACACACTCACACACACACACACATCGTCGGATGTCTGAGTGCCCAAGGACACGCGAGAGGACGTGAGACTCTTCCGAGGGCGCGGCTCTCGCCCCAGGAGCGCCGAGGAGGCGAGGCGCGACACACAAGACTCACGGGGCGCCTTTGACTCGACAGGGTCGACCTCGCTGACCAAACTCGATTTGACACCGACTGTGGGCCCAGGACGGACAGCTGACGCCCCCTTGTATGTGGGGTTACCGGGTCGTTCTCACTCGGCCTGGCGCGCCCGAGGGGGCCGGGGCGAGAGGCGGGCGCTCCCTCGCAGGAGGCCGCAGAGGGCGGGGGCCTGCTGAAAGGGCGGATGAAGGGCACGGCTCTGCAGAGGCCCGGCCGAGGAGGGTGAAGAGGGAGAATAGCAGGGGGAGAGAGTCGGGAGGGCAGCGCTCAGGCGGAGTATGGTGGGAGCTCTCCTCGGATCTGCAAGCGCGGCACCGTACTGGGCGCGGGGCACTGGAAGCAGCCACTGTCGGGCGGTGCCAGTGCACGGCCCAAGGCACCAAGTCCAACTGACTGCTGTCAGGGAGGGGGTCAGGGGAAAGAGGAGGAGGAGGAGGAGGAGGAGGAGGAGGAGGAGGAGGAGGAGGTGGTGGGGGAACAGGGCAAGCCCAAGATACATCAACGACGCTGCAGCACACCCTCCCGTCGCAAGCCCCCCTCCCCATAAACCCCTATGAGCCTCTCCTTCACCACAAGAAACACCCCCTTGAACGACCAGCACCCTATCGGTCTGCCTGCCATTCAGGTGAGACCCCACTTTGAAAAGGAACGGTTTTGCATCCCTCCAGCGAGCGATAAGGAGTGCGAGAAGGTATGGTCATACAGTTCAACGAGAAACGCGCCCATCTGTGAAGCTGTAGCACAAGCATGCTGCTTATTAGAAGCACACATGAAGTCCCAAACGAGAGCCCCATCTTGAAATCCAACAGCCCTCCATCCATGCAGCTGTTACATGTTCAAGCGTCTGGCTTTCAGCTTAGGAAAACCTGAAGCGAAAACCCCATTTGGAAAAGAAACCGAACTTCATCCGTGCAACTGCTGCAAGCATTTCAGACGTATGTGCGTGGCGCTAAGGCGAGATCCCCGTTGCAACAAGGAACCGTCCTCGCTTGAAATTGCTGCGCATTAAAAAAAAAGAACGTGCGCGGCGCGAAGGCGAGAGCCCCCTTTTTGAGAAGGTGGCGCCCGCCATCCTTCAAACTATTGCGGACTTGAACGGCAAATGCGCGGCGCTAAGGCGAGATCCCCATGTTTTGAAACGACCAGTGCGCTTTATCCTTGTACCTGTCGTAAGCTCTAAGAAAAACAAGTGGCGCGGCGCTCAGGCGAGAGCCCAATCTAAAGGCTAACCCCCCTCCATCCTTGAAGCTGCTGCAAGCGTTTATGACGAAAGTGCGCGGCGCTAAGGCCAAAGCCCCCTGTTGAAATCGGCCCCCCTGTCTTTGAAGCTGTTGCCAGTTTCAACTTTGAGGGTCTTAAACGGTGTGGGGGACTCAAGAGAAGCGCCTGGCCCGGCCTACTAACACGACTGGGGGCGCGACAGGGATGCGTTATCAATAAAAGAAAGAGTTGCTTAAAGGGATGGAGGAGGGGGAGGAGGAGGAGGGGAAGGGGGGTAGGGGGGATGAGGAGGTGGAGGAGGATGGAGGAATATGAGGGGGAGGGGGAGGGAAGGGGGGGGAGGGGGAGGGGGGAGGGGGAGGAGGAGGAGGAGGAGGAGGAGGGGAGGAGGAGGAGGGAGGAGGAGGAGGAGGATGGAGGAGGAAGAGGGGGGGGAGGGGAGGAAGGGAGGAGGAGGAGGAGGAGGAGGGGGGAGGCGGAGGAGAGGAGGAGGAGGAGGAGGAGGAGGAGGGGAGGAGGAGGAGGGGGGGGAGGGGGTGAGGAGAAGGAGCAGCAGCAGAAGGAGCAGGAGGAGGAGGAGGAGGAGAAAGAGGAAGGGAGGAGGGGGCGCCCCTCTCTCGGCCCTGGCCGCTTCGAGTCGCCGCCGGCTCTCCTTGAGCCCAGGTGGCTGCGCGGGGAGCTGGACACGCGGAGGGCCCCGAGGCCCTACCCCCGAGAGGGGGCTTCGGATCGGGCCCGGGAAGCTTCGCTCTCGTGCGCCCCGCACAAAGCCTCCGCCTCCTCCTCCTCCTCCTCCTCCTCCTCCTCCTCCTCCTCCTCCTCCGCCTCTCCTCCTCCTCCTCCTCCTCCCTCCTCCTCCTCCTCCTCCTCCTACCCCTCCTCCTCCTCCTCCTCCTCCTCCTCCTCCCTCCTCCTCTCCTCCTCCTCCTCCTCCTCCCCTCCTCCTCCTCCTCCTCTCCTCCCTCCTCCTCCTCCTCCTCCTCCCCCTCCTCCTCCGCCTCCTTCTCCTCCCTCTTCCCCTCCTCCTCCTCCTCCTCCTCCTACTCCTCCTCCTCTTCCTCAGGCGAGGGTAGAAAGAGACCGAGGTCGGCTGAGGGGACCTTATCGCGGACCTCTGGAAAAGCCGGCGGGTCTGGCTGACGCATCCGGCGCCGCGGCCGTTCCAGAGCGCTCCAGAGCGCCCAGGGAGCGCCCTGGAACGCTCTGTGGGCGGTTTAGCCGCATCCCACGCCTACCTGACAGGTGTTCACCGCAACGTCACTCGAAGCTTGCTGCCGGAAGCGGCCCAATCAGGCACCAAGGGGGTGGCTGCCAGAGCTGGCGAGGACCACGGGCAACATGAGGGCTGAGACCACTGGGCTCGGGCTGCTCTGCACCTCCCTGCCTGTTGGCTCAGACGTCCATCTTCGGGCCTTGGGCCCTCCGGGGGTACAGGAGGAGGCCGAAATCCTCCTCCTCCTCCTCCTCCTCATCCTGCTCTGTCTTTCTCTCTCTCTCTCTCTTTCTCTCTCTCTCTCTCACTCTTTCTCTCCTCCTGTCTCTCTCGCTTCCCTCCTCGTGTCTCTCTTTCTCTCTCTCTCTCTCAACGGCATCTGAGCTCGCACTTCGCGCATCGCGAAGCGGGGACAGCTCCGCGCTCTCGCGCCGCTCCGCTTGGGGAGCAGAGAATGACGAGGAGGACGAGGAATCGCGAGCAGCGAGCAGTGAATAGCTTCGCGCCCTCGAGGCGGCCCCTGTCTCTGGTCTGAGCTTTGCGAACATTTGCGAACCAATCTGTCCTTGATCAAGGGAAACCACCTCCCCCATTCTCCGCCTCCTCCTCATCCTCCTCCTCATTCCACTCCTTCCTCCAACATCTCCTGCCAGAAGCGCTCCGAGGCACCACTTCCCCAAACCTTCTCGGCTGCCAGATCCAATGGACGAGATCTCCGAGGACGGGAGATCCTCCCCTTCCCCCTCCCCCTCTTCGTAATCCTGCTCCTTCTCCTCCTCACATTTTCCTTGCGGATAACTCCGCTCTGTCGCACCCCCAAATGTGTCAGGTAGGGCGGGCCCAGCGGTTCGCGGGAGGCTTCCTTACCACTCATGATCTGGAGCTTGAATGTCGTAACAAGTATTATGTTGTTCCTATCGTGCTTAAGGACCAAATCCCAGGAACAATTTCGAGCACCCGGGAAAGTGTCGAAAGAGTGTCGAAAGAGTGTCGAAAGGGTGTCGACACAGCGTCGAGCCCTCGAGTTTCGGTACTTCTTTGGTGCTCGGAATCCCTTCGAGCGTTCCAGGCTAAAAGGAGGTCGGAACATCCTGACACCAGAAAGCAAGCACAAGGAAGGAGGGCGGCTCCCTGTCCACGAGGAGGATGGAGGATGGAGGATGGAGGATGGAGGTTGGAGCATCATAACATCACAAAACAAGCGCCAGGATGGAGGGCGGCTCCTTGTGCACAGGGGGCTCTCGCCTCGGCGCCGCGCGCGGTCGTCGCCCTCAGAGACTTGCAGCACTGTTCCAGCGTGGGGCTCTCGCCTCGGCGCCGCGCCGAAGCGCCCTGCCGGTTTGCATTCAGTCGGGCCCGTCCCCCTACTGACAGGGGGGTTTTGGACGACACGTAAAAAGTCCCCCCAAAATGCCCCAAAAGATGCCCAAACATACTCAAAAAATAGTCCCCTGGCGATTTGTTTTGACTATTTTGGACGATTCCCCCTGTAGAGGGGCAGGTTCTCTGTTTTTCCTGGAAGCCGCCTTGCTGGAGCTTAGCGTGGGGCTCCTGGAGACTAAGACCGGCCAAGTCGATGAGCTTTCTGTCTGTCGCCCCCGAGGCTTGCAGCGCATGCTCGGCCTGGGCTAAGGCTTGCACTGTTCGCGGGCACCGCGTCCAGAACCCCTCCAGCGTGCTCACGTCCAGGCACTTGGCCACGTCGTGGAAGCACAGCGCCCAGCTTGCGGCGTAGGCTGCCAGCGCTGTCTGGGCGGCGAACGGGATGGCGCACCCTCCGTCGGCGAGGCGCACGGTTATGCCGCATGGTGGCTTGCAGTCTCTGGAGCTCGTCCACTTGGTTCCCGCGATGTAGGTGTTCAAAGGCCGAGAATACCGCCGCGTCGAGCTGCTCCACCCAGATTCTCTGCAAATCGGCTCGCAGGTGGTAGGTGACGCATCCCTGCGCGAAGGTTCTGAGCAGAGTGAGGTAGGCCTCGTCGGAAGGTCCGAGCCCTTCGCAGTTCTCGGAGTCGCCGAGTGAAAATCTGCGCCCGCTGCATTGCCGCCGCTCCGTCTGCCCCTACGTGCACTACCACCCTGCCCTCCTGCTGGTCTAACCATGGGGCTGCGTTGCCCAAGCGCACTAACGTGTCTACATTGAGCGCGCGGATAGTTTCTGGGAGGTTGCTCTCTCGGTCCAATGACCACGCTTGGGTTTTGCTCTGGTTTTCCGTCAAGCCGTTGTTGGTGAGAGCGTCCACCACAAGTCGCGCCACTCCTGCTGCGTGCTCGGGGGAGCGAAAACCATGAAGTCGTCCAGGTAAGAGAACACCCTGCAAGCAGGCGAGAGCTGCTGGAGCCCTTGGGAAACCTCGGCCAGACAGTCCGCCACTGCAATCGCGAAGAAACCGGGAGAGAGCGGGCAGCCTTGGTCCACGCCTGTGGTAGCGGTGACCGGCCGTGCCGCGTCGCTGGCGTCGTCCCAGTAGAGGTCGCCCCCCAGCCAGCAGCACGCGGTGCGAAGGAAACTGGGCGCTTGTGGTCGGAGTCCCTGAAAGGTTCGGGCCCGCGGGAGACGGTTGTACGCGTTAGAGCAGTCGGAAGCGAGAACAACACCTCGTGGATTTGTTTCGGCATGGGCGGAAATTTATTTGTGCATCACTTCGCACCCGACTGACTTTCCCACTGCGTATTAGTGCGGCCCGCGTGCTTGGCTCATCTCTTCTTTGTAAGCCTCGCAGGCCGCTTTGGCCGCCTCCTCCCTCCTCCCTCACCCTCCCCCCCTCCTCCTCCTCCTCCTCCTCCTCCTTCCTCCTTCCTCCTTCCTCCTTCCTCCTTCCTCCTTCCTGCTTCCTTCTTCCTCCTTCCTCCTTCCTCCTTCCTCCTTCCTCCTTCCTTCTTCCCTCCTCCCTCCTCCCTCCTCCCTCCTCCCTCCTCCTTCCTCCCTCCTCCCTCCTCCCTTCTCTCTCTTTCCTCCTCCCGCCTTTTTCTTTTCTCCTCCCGCCTCCCTCCTCCCTCGCGCACTGCTGGTCTCTGTCCGAGCCGGTCGATGCGCCAGGTGCCTCCTCCTCCTCCTCCGCCTCCTCGTCCTTTTCCTCCTCCTGGCCCTTTCTCCTGACCCCCACCCCTCCTGGAGAATAGCAAAAGAGGGGGGGGAGAGGAGGAGGGGCGGAGAAGACACGGGGCGGGAGCGAGAGCAGGGGAGGGAACGGCGGGAGGGCAGGGGGAGGCCACGGGGAGGACGGGAGGCGGGTGGCGGAGGGAGGGGCGCAGGGGGGGGGGGGGGACAGACCGGGGGAGGGATGGGCAAGGAGGGCTGGGCGGGGGCGGGGGGACGACGCCGACGAAAACTGCCACCCACAACTGCCACCCACCACCGCGAATACCACGACGACGGCGACGGCGACGGCAACGATGACGGCGGCGCCGGCAGCGGCCGCTGCGGCGGCGACTGCCACCACCACGGCGACGACGACGACGACGACGACGACGACGACGACGACGACGACGACGACGACGACGGCGACGGCGACGGCGACGGCGACGGCGACGGCGACGGCGACGGCGGCCCGGCCGCCTCAGACAGGCGCGCCCGACGGAGGCAGGCCGCAGCACGCCCAGGCTGGCCTCGCCCCGCGCGCGTATACGCGGGAGAAACAGTGGCAGCGGCGGCGGCAATGGCGGCGCGCACAAACGGGGTGGCGCGAGGGAGGAGGGAGGAGGGAGGAGGGGGCCTTCCAAGCAGAAGAGGCGACCTCTCAGAGGCCCTCCTGGCTTCGGTGACGGCTGCCGCCTCGGGCGGGGGCCCCGCGGGCCTACTATTATGTCGGGCCTGTCCCCCTACAGGGGGATTTTCGACGAAAGATATAAAATACCTCCAAAAATGTTTCAACAAAAAAGCCAAAACACACTCAAAACATCATCCCCAGACTATTTGTTTACGATGTTTTGACTATTTGGGGGGTATTTTTTCGTCGAAAATCCCCCTGTAGGGGGACAGGCCCCACTTAAGCCTACTGCGAAGGCCCCTGCGTCCTGCGAAGCCCCCCCCCCGCCCGCTCGGGAGGCCGCTCCTCGACGCGCACGCCCGCGGTGCGCGCCGCCGGGCTGCCGCGGCGCCGGCGGCCACGCTATCCTTATGTGGGGCGTGCCCCCCTACAGGGGGATCTTCGACGAACAAATAAAAAAGACCCCCAAAAATAGCAAAAAAGGTTAAACAAATACTAAAAACAAATAGTCCCCAGACTATTCTTGGAGTATCTTTGGACTATGTTGGAAGGTGTTTTTTATTTTTCGTCGAAAATCCCCCTGTAAGGGGGACAGGCCCGACGTAACGCTATACGTCGGTGGCCCGGCCGAGGGCTGGGCCATCAGGGGCAGGGGTGCCGAGGGAAGTGGGCCCTGGACTTATGTTGCTCCCATCGTACTTACGGACCACATCCCAGGAAGAATTTCGAGCTCCCAGAAAAGTGTCGAACGAGTGTCGACTAGGGCCCGACACGTGAACACCCTCGAGTTTTTGGGTACTTTTTTGGTGCTCGAAATTGTTTCTGGTGGTCAAGGCTAAAGTAGGCTGGAACATCATAAGGCTGGGTCATCAGGGGCAGGGGTGCCGAGGGAAGTGGTCCCTGGACCCCCGGGGCCGCCCGGCGGGACCACACCTTCGCGCCCTGCAGGCCACGTCTTGGACGGTCCCGGGGCCAGCGGAGGGCGCCCGGAGCCCGAACACGACAGACAGACGTCCAGAGCCCGTCAGCTCCCCGCGCTTCCCTGCCTGCAAGTCCCCCGAGCTCTGGTCGATTCTCCGACCCAGACGTGGCGTCGGAAATGCACCCCGAACGATGCCAAAGAATAGGGTGGACATCTCCGCCTCGGAAAGGTCGGGCGGCCATTTCCGCAAAGGTTTGACGGAGACGGCGACTGCAAAACGGCGGAAATCGGCATCAACGAAGCTTGGAAAGTAGGGCGGGAACTTCCGCCCTACTTCCGAAATCGCCCGAAGTAGGGCGGATCCCGAGTCACGGCTGACTCGTGGCGATGCGATCCCGACGGTGGGCAGACCTGGAGCAGACACGGCGGCGTCGGCGGCGGCTACACACAATTCTTGTGTTCAGAAATCTTGTGCTTAAAAATTGGTGCCCGACTTCGGGAAAGAGAGTTTCTCAACTGAAGGCATGGACGTCCGGCGGCGGCGGCTGGGTCAACCAAAAGGAAACGATACCGCTACACCCCATACTTCTCCCGGGGTGCGTTCTGACCAGGATTTCGAAGCGAATCGGGCGGAGGCCCCAAAAAGGGGCAGCGAGGGAAGGGTACAGTCAACCCGCAGAGTAAGGATGCGCGAGACGGATGCAAGGGCCTTGCACGCCCATTTCGAAGCTTCCCGAGCGGGGCGCGGCTAACGAAAGTGTCCAAGGATGGACCCGGGAAGCAAGGATGCAAGGGTACCCTTGGGAGGGATGTCTGTCCTTACTCTGCGGGTCGACTGTAGCAGTGTGGGTGCCCTTGCCTTCTCTAAACGGCGGCCACGGCGACGGCGCTGGCGGCCAGCCCTCCGCCGTCGGCCTCTGACTACCTAATTACCAGACCACCCCAACCCAACCCGAAGACCAGAACTTCGGGTTGGGGGGGCAAGGGTTCCACATGCGCTTTCCCGATGCTTCCCGACCCCCCCACACTGGAGATCGAGGGTAAATCTGAGCCTTCGAGTTGGGTTTGGGGTGGCTTGGTGGGTGGTGAGCCTCGCAGCGGCATCCCGCTCCCCCGCCCCAGCCCTCCGTGAGGCAGGACCACAGCGACTTCGCCTGCTGCTCCGCGGGCGCGCCCGCGGCTGGGGGCCCGAGGGCCGCGTCCTGGCGGGGCGGGGATCAGGGGGGGAGGAATGAGGAGGAGGAGGAGGAGGAGGAGGAGGAGGAGGAGGAGGAGGAGGAGGAGGAGGGAGGAGGAGGAGGAGGAGGAGGAGGAGGAGGAGGAGGAGGAGGACGACGAGGAGGGAGGAGGAGGGAGGAGGAGGAGGAGGAGGAGGAGGAGGGAGGAGGAGGAGGAGGAGGAGGAGGAGGGAGGAGGAGGAGGAGGTGGAGGAGGAGGAGGAGGAGGAGGAGGAGGAGGAGGAGGAGGAGGAGGAGGAGGAGGGGAGGAGGAGGGAGGAGGAGAGGAGGGGAGGAGGAGGAGGAGGAGGAGGGAGGAGGAGGAGGAGGAGGGAGGAGGGAGGAGGGAGGAGGAGGAGGAGGGAGGAGGAGGAGGAGGAGAAGGAGGAGGAAGAGGAGGAGGAGGAGGAGGAGGAGGGGGAGGAGGAGAAGGAGGAGGAGGAGGAGGAGACGGAGTGATAGGGGCGCCAGCTGCAGATAGAATTTTCACAAATTCGGCCATGCATAATTTACACGCGCGATTAGACTCCGCTGGGTCATGGGCTCCAGGCCTTCCGCGCCCCTGGCGCCAGCGCCGGGCGCCAGGTAGCCGTGGGATATCCACCATCGCCGGGGCGGCTAGGGGCAACAAAAACCCAAGACGAGGCCAGGACAGGGACAACATCGGACAAGGATAAGTCGGGGTCGGTGCTGGTGGTCAGTGGCGGCAGAGGGGGCCCAGAATCGAATCGATCAGTCGGATCGGCGGAAGGCGGCAGCCGAGTCGGGAAAAAACGAATCGGCGGAAATCGGCAGGCTAGTACGCGTCCAATAATAAATCGAAACCCAAATCGGAATCCGAAATCGAACCGGACTCGGAATCGGAATCCATCGACGTCGCATCGAATCGGAGGAATCGAAACGAGCCCTGTGGCGGTGGTCATGGCGCCGTCGTGCTGGCCGTGGTCGTGGTCGCGGTGCTGGTCGGCGGTGGTCGCGGTCGTGAACGTGCCAGCGCTGGTCGTGGTCGTGGCGTCGGTGGTCGCGGGGGTTGTCGTGTTCAGAATCGTCGTCGTGGTGTTGCTGATGGCGGCAGTGGTTGTCGTGTTGGTGGCGGTCGTGGTGGTCTGGGCTCTTGGTTGTGGTCGCGGCCGCTCATGGTGGCCACTGCGCTGGCGGCGGTTCCGGTGGACCAAGCGGAGGCGGGGGGCTGCTCGCCTAGCGCCCGAATGCGCTCAGCAGCATCTCAGCACTACCCCTTTGGAGGGTTCTGCTGATCTGGCGCAGCAGCAGCTCGGAGCGCTCGCCGTCGTCTAGGTCTGCTCCGTAGCTGCGGACGAAGCTGGCGGCTTCGTCGCTGGGCCGGCCACCTGTCTCGAAGACGAGGGGACCAACTCGCCCCCGGGCGAGGGGTACCGTTCTCGTATCTTTTCCACCATCTGGGCGGCCGCCAAACCGTCTCCGTATGCCTGGGCACCCCTGCGTGGAGGGTATGTTGAGCGTACGCAGGTGATTGCCCAATCAACGTAGACGTGGCGCCCCCGTTGGCCAGGTCGTTGGTGGAGAGGTCGAGGACGGCTTGCTGCAGCTCCCCGGTGCAGGGGTGGCGGCGATTCCAGGCAGGGACGGCCTGCTCAGTGGACGCCGCGAAGCCTGTGAGCTCCTTGTGCTTCACGGAGTGTCTCTCATCTCAGCTGCCTCGATACGCAATACGCAACACGTAGCGTATTGATACGGAGCTCAACACGTAGGCCGAAAACGTAGGTCCGACGCGATGCATTCGCCAAAGCGTGGCCCCATACGTGGAGCCAACACGCAGCGTAGTGACACGGACGCCTTGAGCACGGGACGCGCTGCGTCTCAGAACGGGCGCATCGAGGCAACCAAGCCTCCCATCCCTCCCTTCCTCCGTGCTCCATCCCTGCCCCCGTCCTTTCCCCCTCTCCTCGCCCCCTGTCCTCAGCCTTTCCCCCTCTCCTCGCCCCCTGTCCCTCCCCTCCTCCGTGCTCCATCCCTGCCCCCAGCCAGCCTTTCCCCCCCTCCTCGCCCCCCGTCCTCAGGGCCCGCTCCTTCGCAACCCCGTGCTGGCCGTCGGCGGCCGCGAGCGCGGCCTGCAGGGCCCGCCGGTCCGCGGCGCCCAGGCGGGCGGCCAGGGAGAGCACCTCGTCGACGGAGGGCGCCTGGCTGGAGGGAGCATCTGGGTTCAAGTCGGGCCTGTCCCCCTTACAGGGGGATTCTCGACGAAAACTAAAAAATACGGGGGACTATGTTTGGGGTAATTTTGTTGTCCTTTTGGGCATGTTTGGGGTATCTTTTATTTGTCGTCGGAAATCCCCCTGTAGGAATCGACGACGGAGGGCGCCTGGCTGGAGGGAGCATCCGGGCACGGCAGGCACACGCGAGGAGTCGAGAGCTGGGCGAGGGCTGCTCAAACCGTGGCTGCTAAAGCAGCCCTCCCGGCAGGAGAAAAAAACAACTTCCCGGAATGAGGCGCGGCGCGCGAAGCAATCCACGGGCTTCCTCCCGGAAGGACGAGGACGATTTCCCGGAGGTCGGTTTTGGCAGCCACGGATTTAGCAGCCCTTGCCCGGCTTCTGAATGAGAATTCTTGCCATAACCTGGCGAAGAAAGAGCTGCATGTATTGAGCAGGGACCGACCGTCCCTGCATTCCTGTAGTCCTACCACGACATGTTCTTAGAAACCAAAAATGTTCTAAGAAGAAGAACCGTGTTCTTGGAACATGTTCCCGATGTGTTAGAACAAGACAGTCCCAGCCAGAAATGTTCTAAGAACATTTCGTGCAGACCACAAAAGGTTCTTAGAACATTGTTTGGTGGGGCTACAGGCGAGCCAGGACGCTTCGCCTGCTTGAATGCACATCTCTTCGTCGGAGGTCCGAGCGGACCTCTCGGGTCGGCGCTGGGCCCCCCCCCGTGGCGGCGCCTCCGGCGCCGCTCCTGGCGCGCTCCGCGCGCAAGGGGAGGGGGGCGCCAGCGCCGCTCCGTGGATCCGCTCGGACGGAGCTGGCCCAAGACGGCCCAAGAGGCCTCCAAGAGGGCGATGGAGGAGGAGGAGGAGGAGGAGGAGGAGGAGGAGGCGGAGGACGGGGTGATGGAGGAGGAGGAGGCGGAGGAGGAGGAGGAGGCGGAGGAGGAGGAGGAGGAGCAGGAGGAGGAGCAAGAGGAGGAGCATGAGGAGGAGGAGGAGGAGGAGGAGGAGGAGGAGGAGGAGGAGGAGGAGGAGGAGGAGGAGCAGGAGGAGGAGCAGGAGGAGGAGGAGGACTAGTGTAAACTTGTTTGCTAAGAGCCCAAGAAGGCCACAACAAGCGCAAGACATTGTTTTTCCTTGGGTTTTTGGAGGATTTTGCCATCTGCTTCTTTGCGGCCTTCCGACGGCCCGAGACGGCCCAAGAGCCCCCAAAGATCGCCCAAGAGGCCCAAGGCGGCCCCAAGAGGCCCCCAAGACGGCCCAAGAGACCTCCAAGACGCTCAAGATGGCCCCCAAGACGGCCCAAGAGCCCTCCAAGACGTCTTCCAAGAAGGTCCGAAAGGGTCAAAATGGCCTCCAGACGGCCAAGATGACCTTCAAGATGCCCAAGTGTTCCCCGAAGGCTTTCCAAACCGATTCGGGGAACACATGGTCCGATAGTTTGACAGGTCTGGCCTCAACGTTCGGCCACATGGGCGCTTCCAAAAAGGCGGGGGGCGGCGGTGATTCGCCGCAGGCGTCCTCGATGGGAGCCTGTGAAGAGGGACTTGGAGGGAGGGTGTATTGCAACATCGTTGCTGACTCAAAGGGTTTACACTGGTCTTCCTTCTACTCCTCCTCCTCCTCCTCCTCCTCCGCTGCGCTCGCCTCCTCCTCCTCCTCCTCCTACTCCTCCTCCTCCTCCTCCTCCTCCTCCTTCTGCTCCTCCTCCTCCTACTCCTCCTCCTCCGCTGCGCTCGCAGTGCTGTCCTTCGAACTCGAGAGACCACGCGAGGCGAGGGGCTCTCTCCGCTGCCTCAATCGCTGGAGCCAGGCGCTTCCGCCCACCGGCGCAAGTCTGCGGCAGGGCTGCGCCGACAGTGCTGAAGGGGCCCCCGGGACACACAACATAAACAGGCACAAATAACAGGCCCCCAAGAGGCCCCCAAGACGCCCCAAGAGGCCCAAAAGAGGCCCCAAGAGGCCCAAAAACGGCCCCCAAAGAGGCCCCCCAAACTCGGCTAGCCCACAACGGTGCGACAAGATGGGCCGGCGGAATGAGCGAAGCGATTATAATAAACAAGCATAAACAACAGGATCCCCCACATTTCCCCATATGCTCTGGGCGTGTGTCTCCCCCCCCCACCTCCCATATTTCCCCCTGTCTTCCTGGGAGTCGACGATTTTGTGCCTCTGTGTGTGTTTTTCCCACACATTCCCCACGTGTTCCCATATGTTTCCATCTGTTCCCCATATGTTCCCATATGTTCCAAATATTTTCCCATATTGTCCAATCTTTTCCCATTTGTGCCTGTGTGTTTTTCCCCTCCTGCAATGCGAGGTGCCAGTTCTGCCAGCAGGATGCCCTCGGGGCGCCCGGCCACCAGACACATACATGATCGCGAGCCTGTTCCTGATCACTTCGGGCCTCGGGGCCAAGTTCCCGATGACCATCCTGGAGCGCAGGTCGCTGCTACCGCTTCTGTTTCGGCCACCTGGGGGCCCATCTGTGCCCGCACCAAAGGTCACTCCGGCGAAAAGTCACTCTTACGCCTAGTCGATCCTGGGGCACGCCCAGGCCAGGACAGCGCCGGCCAGGAGTGGAGAGTTCCAGCTGGAGAGGCCGAGGAGTGGAGAATACACGTCGGTCGGAAGAAGTAGGTAGAAACGCGAAGTAGGAAGGCGGATATAGCGGATTGGGTCCAGGTCCTCCCAGGGAATACCAAAACACAGCAGCAGCATGCCGATTCTTGAAGTAGGAAGGCGCTTGAAGTAGATTGGGATCTGGGGATCCAAAAATACCTACTTCCAACGACCGGCGTGTATGATTGCGAGCCTGTTCCTGATCACTTCAGGTCTCGGGACCAAGTTTCCGATGATATCCTGGAGCGCAGGGTCAGAGCTCAGGGATAGATTAGGGGAACAGAAAGTGACATAAACATAAAAACTCGGAGGTCCGCGCAGATTTCTCGGATCGGCGCTGGGGCCCCCTGGCGCCGCCTCTGGCGCCGCCCCTGCCGCGCTCCGCGCGCCAGGGAGGGGGGTCCAGCGCCGATCCGAGAAATCCGCGCGGACCTCCGACTTTTTATGCTTATGTCACTCTTTGTCCCCCAAAAGATGGAGTCCAAGTCTGGGACTCGCGAGGTCCTGCATGGGCTCCCGCTTGTTTCGTGCAATATCTTAACCCCGCCCCCGAGTCGCTCCCTGTGTACTCCCAGGGGGCGACCGAAGCGCGCTGGGAGCGGACTATCTACACCGACGGCTCGGGACTGGCTGCGTCTAGTCCTGAACTGTGCAGGTGTGGATGGGCTGCGGTGGAACTGGCCCTCAATGGGCTCCCCGTCCGTGCCGTGTACGGCGCCCTCCCTGGTAGGCACCAGTCGGTGCCTCGGGGCCGAGAGGTTTGCTATATTCCAGGCGCTTCGGGTTGGCCCTTTGGATGCTCGGATTGTTTCGAACCATCTCTCTACGGTCAAAGAAAGTGAGTCTTGGGACCCCCAGCTGGCCATGAGTGGGTCCAAGCATGCTTGTGTCTGGCGAAAGGTGTTTGCTCTCTATGATGGTGATAGCCCCGGCCCTAGTTTCAAGTGGACCCATTCCTACCGTAAATGGGACGAGGTTCTGGAGCTCAGGGCCTTGGAGGTTACAGAGTTTCTCGGTAATTTGTGGGCTGACATTTTCGCCCGTTTGGGGTCGGAGTTCCATGCTGTTGCGGACGCTCTTGTCGAGCATCAGGCTGCCTGTATGAAGTCCCCGCGTCTGACTTTCCACTTCCTAGCGAGGTTCTCGCAATCGATCGCTGCGTTGGCTCAGGAGTCCTCGACCTCGTATCGCCCTGCTGCGGGCGCTGTTTCTAGGAAGGCTGTAAAGTACCCTCCGGCCTTGACGCAGCACGCGCTGTTGTATTTCCCCAGCTGAGGTGAGTGGCGCTGCAGTGTATGTAATATGTGTCTTAGCTGCCCCGATACGCAACACGCAACACGTAGCGTATTGATACGGAGCTCAACACGTAGGCCGAAAACGTAGGTCCGACGCGATACAGTCGCCAAAACGTGGCCCAATACGTGGAGCCAACACGCAACGTATTGACACGGACGCCTTGAACACGGGACGTATTGCGTATCAAAACGGGCGTATCGAGGCAGCTAAGATCTGTATGCTACCACACCCGCCTCCCTCGCCCAACTCATGCAGTGTATGTAATCTGTATGCTGCCACACCAATGGTCAATTCGAATCTCTTCCTGGGGTGACGGGGGACTTCGGCACGGGCAGCATGAACGCCGCCACGTCTGGGCTACTAGTTGTGGTTTCAGCGCATCATTTCGTGGTAGTGAATGCTGGGTTCCCTGCTGGCGACACCTACTTTGGGCTGAATTCCATCCCCAAGGTGCCCCTCGCCCAACTCCTGTCGGGTAGCAGGAGGGAGCGTGGGCCGTGCGCGTACCGGCGGTGGCGCAGGCCCGTGCTGCTTTCTTGCGGGCAGGCATGCGGACTCCGCCCCACTTGCGTCCAATGGGAGCGCCTCCAGCCTTAAGTTGGGGCTGTCCTCCCCCAGGGGGATTTTCGACGAAAAATAAAAAATGCCCCGAAAATAATAGAAAAATCATCCAAAAATGATCCAGGGACTATGTTTGGGTGCTTTTTTTCTACCTTTTTGGTGTATTTTTGGGGGTATTTTTTTAATCTTTCGTCGAAGATCCCCCTGTAGGGGGACACGCCCGACATAGCTCTAGCCACGAATGCTGCGGAGGAGGTCCTGGGGCCCAGGTCTGAGGCAGAGGCGCCCCCCTGCCGTCACTTTGCAGGAGGGGGTTCCGGACTCTCGGGCATCTCGGGCACCAGAGGAAGCAGTCTGGGCGTGCTCCGTTCTGCTCCCGGCGCGCCGCACATGCGATTCTTCCTGGAGGCAGCCTGCGGGGTCTGCGTGCGAAGTGCAACGGTCGCTCTGATCACCCTTCGACTGAGATCAGTCAGGCCTTGAAGGTTAATG